TTCTTCTTTGGAGGGGAAAGGGGGAAATCTGGGACAGATTCTTTTGACCGTGGGCTGAGAATCAGCTCAAAAGCCTGGCCTGAAGCACGCTTCTCCAGTTCTTTCACCTGAATATCAGAAAAAGCCATGGTGAGCAGAAGACAAGAGACTGGCTGGCAGTTTATTCCACTGGTAAGGAAAGCCCTGCTCCGTCCGAGCCGCCTGGCCACACTCTCAATAATTTATTTCTTAATACTCATACTCCCATTGTTTCCTTAATAGTAAAGAAAAATGAGAAAGAGTTGACAAGATTGCTCAGTGGACTAAGCACCTACTTTGGCAAGCACAGAGACCAGAGTTTGATCCCTGGTCCTGCATGCTGCACTGGCCCTGCCCCTGGGGCGTGCTGTGCCTGTAACTGAGTCCGGATGTGGTAGCACATGCTTGTAATTCCAGTGCTGAGGAGCCTGAAAACAGGAGGATCACTGCGAGTCTCAGCTGCATAGTGAGACCCTAAACCAAATATATAAAATGAAAAAAGAAAGAAATGAAAAGAAAACTCAAAACTGTGTCTCAGCCTTTGGATTTCGGGGCTTTCACACTGCACTGGCCACATTGTTTACCTGAGTGGTTAGGATTTCCACAGAGAAAAATCACATGAGTTTTTTTCCCTTCTTCTTGTTGAGTGTCTATCTGAAACAGAAAGTGTGTGTGTGTGTGTGTGTGTGTGTGTGTGTGTGTGTATTACTGTGCCCCATCTAGCATAGCTCTCAGATTTCCCAAGGGGCAGACCATGGAAGATAAAGAAATAAAGACAGGAGTCAGAATGTAGAAAGCTGAGGTCAGGTCAAGCCTCTTCTCCTAATGGAAGAGAAAATGGTCCAAGGACTGCAGTGCATTTATTTATATACTCTGCAGGTTGCTGTCATGTGACACCCCTCTTCTTATTGGCTTGTTCATGTGGTTCGCCTTGGGAGCCTTCTGCTCCAAGGCTGACCTGGCTGCCCTTGCTTGGCGCTGCAGGTATGATCCACCTCCAGCTTCAGCCACTCCTCATAGTACTGGGCTAGAACGCAGGAACTCATATTTGTTCTACCACTGAGCTACATTCCAGCCCAGCCCTAAAGGAAATTCTTATTAAGAATTAATAATAATACTGATCAGTTAATACTACTGACTTCTTTATCTACTAATCATTTTTATAACATATATGACTTGTAAATAGACTCCAGTTCTGATCCTAAAGTTGTATCTTTCTGGACTGTTCAAGTTTTCAATTGTAATTTTCCTGGAAGAATTTAGGACGACTGCCATTTAAGTGGTGATTTATGTCATTTCTTTTTTATATTGATTCATGTTATATGACACAATTTAAAAATTCATTTTGTTGGGCTGGAGATAGCTCAGCAGTCTAAGCACCTGCCTGGCAAGTGCAAGGACCTGGGTTCAATCCCCAGTACTACATGCTGTGCCAGCATTGCCCTGGGCACACCATGCTGGCCATCAAAAGCGGGCATGGTGGTGCATACCTGTAATCCCAGCACAGGGGAGGCTGAGACAGGAGGATCACTACAAGTCTGAGCCGAGTAGTAAGAGCCTGTACCAAGCAAATAAATAAATAAATGTTTTTAAAAAATAAATTCATTTTGTTTTTGCTGAAAATGTTAAATTCCTTTTTCTAAACTATTAACAGGGTCAGGGATACAGTTCAGTGGCACAGTTACCTGCCTGGCAAGGGCAAGGTCCTGAGTTCAATTCCCAGTACCAAAAAATAAAAATAAAAAATTTTACAACTATGATTAGTCTCAGAATGATGCTATCACTTAACTGGCACAATAGTATATAATGTTATAAAAAATTGTTGCATAAGTCATCACATACTTAGAAGCTGTAAATCTGGGGGAATATATATATATATATTTTCACTGAGCCATCTCCCCGGCCCCAACTTTGTGTTGGTGTTTTTGAGACAGGATCTCACTATATAATTCAGATTGTCCTGAAAATTGCTGTATCCCAGGCTGACCTCAAATTTGAAGTGATGATACTTCTGCCTCAACCTCTGAAATCCTGGGATTAAGTGATACCCCTTCAGTCTATGAAGTCAAAGATACTTCGATACTAGAATGCTGTTTGCTTTTAAGAATCAAGTATACATTTAATCATGTGTACATTGTGGTACATTTATTTATTTATTTATTTATTTATTTATTTATTTATTTATGGCAGAACTGGTGATTGAACTCAGACCCTTGCACTTGCCAGGGAAGTGCTTATTCCACTGAGCCAGCCCTAAACTTGTGGTACATGAGTTTAGTACCCAGCCCTAAACTTGTGGTACATAAGCAATGATAAATAAAAATGCTAGCACCTTCCATGAATCAAAGCAATAGCACTGTCTCAATTACTTTTCCTTCATTGCTGCAACAAAATATCTGAACCCCAAATTAAGGAAGGAGGCCGGGGAGATGGCTTAGTAGAATAAGCACTTACCTGGCAAGCACGAAGGCCTGAGTTCAATCCATGGTTCCAAAAAAAAAAAAAGAATAAAATGAAGGAAAGGTTTATTTAGCTCTCAGTTTCTGGAGGTTTCAGCTCATACTCAGCTGGCTCCAAGCTAGAATGGCACATGGCAGAAGGCAACAGTTCATGGCAGTGGAAAGCAGTAAGAGCAAAAGGGGGTGAGCAGCTGTAGCTGCAGCAGAGGCAGAAGTAAGCCTCTCTCCCTTATAGGTGCATCTAGTCTGTCCCTCATATCCATAATCTCAGCAGCACTCACACCCATAATCCCAGCCTTGAGTCATGAATTAATCACAAACTCTAGAACCCCACCCCAGTGACTGCATGAGACTTTGGGATGACAACTAGATACAAACCTTGACAAGCACCAAACTCACTACAATTCCTAATTTTTAGCTGGGCCTGGTGGTATATGCCTATAATCCTAGCACTCCCAGGCTGAGACAGGAGGGTCACTGAATTTGAGGCCAGCCTGGACTACAAAGTGAGTTCGAGGCCAGCCTGAACTACATAGTGAGATCCTGTCTCAAAAAGACACATACACACTACTAATTTTGGGGGCTGGGGAGATAGCTCGGTGGTCTAAGTGCCTGCCTGGCAAGTGTAAAGACCCGAGTTTGATCACCAATGCTGCATGCTGTACCGGCCCCAAAACTGGGCATAGTGGTGCATGCCTGTGATCCCAGCACTGGAGAGGCTGACATAGGAGGATTGCTACAAGTCCAAGCTGCATAGTGAGACCCTGTATCAAATAAATAAAGATTTTTTTTTAATTACTAATTTTAAGTTGGGTGTGATAGCACAGACTTGTAATCTCGGCATTCTGAGAGGCTGAGGCAGGAAGATGACAAGTTTAAACCCAGCTTAGGCAATTTTTGAGACTGTTTCAAAAACTGAAAGATCCAGGAACGTAGCTCAATGTGAAGACCCTTGATTCAATCTTTGTACCACAAAATTATTAATTTTATTAAATATCAATCTTGGCTTATATTTCCTTTTTATGAAATGGAAAATACATATAAAACAGATGCATGCTGAAGTATGGTAATTATCTTGAAGGAATACATGGTTACTTTAGCTATGTTTCTCTTTGCTGAGACAAAATACCCAACTCCCAAATTTAAAGGAGGAAAGGTTTATTTTGGCTTATAATTTGTAGAAGTTTCAATCCATAGTCTGCTGGCTCCAGGGCAGAGTGTATTGGCAGAGGGGCATTGAAGAGAAGAAGCAGTCCATGGTAAAGCATG